CTGTGCCAATAAATGTATTTATACACATGGCAGATTTATTGCTCAATGTGTTCGATTACTGAAAACAAAGCGGAAGAAAAAATTACTGTAAGTTTAAAGTACACTTTAATTACCAATATTTCAATGGTGTAAACCCCGCCATACAAGGCCAAATGCAGCTTGATTTTTTTTTTCTGAAAAAGCTTTACTCTTTTTAGTTAGCGTTCAGATTTTCTCGTTATATCATAGATTTTTATTGTACTTGTTTCTTCCCTTCGCTTTTACATCTTTTTTTCTTCAATAATACATATTACGTAACTGGCGAACGAAGTGGAAGGTAAATAGAAAGCTCGATCAACACTCCGATTTGCCCCGAAGAGCACCGCTTTTTTACTCATTTTCAGCCTGCTTATAGGTATTTCTTGCTTGACAATTAATTTACTTAAATACAAAAGACACATAGAAAGCATCAAATCATAAACAAACTGCGAATAATAATAGTTTCGTGCCTCTGCAGCGCCACTACTGTAGACTGGGGTTTTGCGTTCGTACTTGAGCATTCTTTTTTTGCCGTGTAGGGGAGTTAACAGCTCCCGCTGTAAGATGAGCTTTGCGGTGCGTTCGGTCCTTTCGGTGAATTGTACTTGGTTGACTGCTCTGCAATGTGCTATATATATTGTCAAGCGGTAAAATGCTGCACTGTGGATGGGACTTTAGCAAAAATGCGAATTCGCCTTTTTGGTTCGTTTTGCTCATACAGTCTCAAACAAGAAAGTTTACTCCATAAGTTGAATTCATAAAGACGGTTTCACATTACAAGGTCCAAGTCCGCCGTACTCCCAGGGAAATTAACAAGACGGTGGCAGAACGTGATGGCGATGAGCCGCGACACGTGGTGCCCAACGACCCGACACACTGTTGGTGGCGACACATTTATCAGGGCGCCGGTTACCGTGTGCAGCTGAATGTCCCGGTGCCGTAGAACTGCAGCGCAATCTAGAGCTGGAGCATTGGAGGGATCGGAAGACCACGACTGGTTCTCGCACTCCTCCAGCCACAGTGTACTTCAGGAGGCTATAGACCACCATCGCTTTTGTAAAGCAGTAGTACGCAAGAAATGCGCAGTCGTTGAACACCTCCAACGCTTTCAGCGGGTTCCGCCGTGACACTGGAAGGCTCTCATTTTCGCTGCGGTTCAGAGGAGTTTGTCGGTCCTGAGGAAGAAGTACACGAACTCGGTGAATGATCTGTGTCAGCCGTCAAACCACCCAAAAACCAAATCGAGTCTCGAGAAAACAATTTCCAGGTAACTCCGACCTTGAGATTTAGGAG